TGGCACTGTGCTCGTTAGATCGTTTTAGAAAAAAACGCAGTGATGATGAAGGAAGGTGGTTAGGCCTGACTCCGCCCTTACGATCAACTTATTCTGCGTCAAAACCCTTTAGAAGGCGAAAGATAGCTGCTAGTTGCTTTATACATTCTAAGCTGCGCCACGCTTCGACTCCCTCTTAGAACCAAAGAGATGTTTGAGTGCGTATACCAGATACGAGGCGGTACTCAGTTCTGTATCTTTACCTCTTTTGCTTGACCTTACATCAGTTATACTACTACAGGGTTGTTGAGTGGTGTTCTATGACACTGTGGTAGATTAATTGATGTGAGGCTCATCCAGGTCACTCTATGGCCCCGTGTACCCCATGCAGGAGAGAGTGGCAAGGTTGACGGGTCCCAACGAGGTGAATTTTGGTCGTTCAACAACGAGGTCCTCTTTGGCCTGCTGATGGTCCCTACATGATTATAACAGAACGTAGTCGTCTCTGGTGTGGAATGCGACCTTCTCCTTCATTCTCCGGTCCAAGAGTTTTACTCTGCAGTTCGTGCTAAAGAGGGAAGCGAAATTGAACTTCTGATTGAAGGAGGTCGTACAAAGGGCAGCGTGGTGAAGAGAAAAGTTCGAGTCGAAAGAAGTGTTCTCCTTGTTTCCAGGGTATTCCTTATTTGTCTCGGTCGGAATTCCGTCCGCAGTATTCATTTGTGGCGTCAGCGCCATTTTTTCCACTGTATCTCTGCTGTGATTCTTTGATGAAAACGATGAAACCCAGCGGATTACTCCCATCCCTCCACTCTTCCCATAGAGCACAGTTGCTGTGCAAGGTTTATCGGTATCTGACTGATTAAAGGCCAGGCCATGCATCAAAGACATGTTTCATGACAATCGGAAAGGTGGGGATAGGTGTGGGACTCACGTCCACTATATTTCCCAAATTGGTGCCCCTGCTTCCAACACATTCAAGAGGAGAAGCGCAGCAACAAGGTTGGTGCAGCGCTTACGATACTCCGCTTCTTCCCCTGCCCATCACTCCACCACTGGAATTACAACTAAGAAATTATTTTTCAGTTGAATGTATTTATCGAAGGCCAATCCACTACTTCAAGCGGTGGCAGTGCTACCACGCCATCGTTGCCTACGTCAGGATCAGGATGCTATTTTCCCACAAAAGTCTACAACGCGGAAATCATGGAGAATCGGAAAGGACGTACCCGTATTGCCAAGGTGACGTCATCTTGTGAAAGGGGTGGCCGTCCCTACGTGTACACCATGTCGCCTCCTTCCGGTATGTCTTTAGGTTAGGTAATCGTGCTTATGTGCTGTTAAGAGGATCCTTTGTTCAGATGATTTCGAGCTGAACTCGTCAACCGGTGAAATCTACGCCATACGTCCTCTAGATCGCGAAAAGCGCAGTTTTCACTTCCTTTATATAAGCGTCTCCGGCGGCAATAGTACAAGTAGAAGGCGCGTCGCTCGTCAAAATCCAATTGTCGAACGTGAGTTGGTCTCTGTCAGGTCTTCGGAAAACCATCGAAGTTCTTTTGAAAATACAAGATTTTAGAGGCGAAGGCGAAGCTCACAGAATTCCAAACATTGGTCGTTGTACGAGTACTTGACGAGAATGACAATGCGCCACGGTTTGTGCACTTGAATGAAAACGAGTCGCTGACGGCTGTCGTGGACTGGCAGGCTCGTCTCTTCAGCCCCGTGCTTAAACTCGAGGTAACTTATTACTCTATAACCTCATAAAGGTAGACTAAAAGTAACTAGACCACTTTCAGGCTAAGGATGCCGATGAACATGCGCAACTGTCGTATTCTTTTTTTTGGGAAAACATGCGCAACTGTCGTATTCTTTGTCTGGAACCGACACGAGTACTTCCTCGTCAACTCCACCAGTGGTCTCGTAATCCTTGCTAAGACTCTAGCTGACTACTCTCTGGAAGCGATCTGGAATTCAGCGCCACTGTCACCGATGGTGTTCACAGAGCTCGAGCTCCAGTCAAAGTAACTTTTTTCTATTGCTGGGAGCGTCACAAAAGAGACCCGACGAATTGTTCGCCATGCTGTGACAGTATAATGTATGAGACGTGATTAGAGCTGCGCTGGGTATTCTTGCTGCCTAGAGAACCACTTCTATTCTTCTCAAAGGTGCATCTAGAACGGGGCTGTGCGGCGGGTGGTACTCGCTGACCCTCTGCTCACTGTCCTCGTCAAGGTGCCGCACTTGCGCAGATACCGAGGTCCCGCAACGAAACACATACTCAGCGGTGGAGAACAACCAGAAGTGATAGGACACAGACAAGTAGTTGGTCTACGTCTAGGCATGTGGCTGGACAGACCCATTCCCCTCACAAATAGCAGGGATCAGGATCCGCAAGAGGTGAGAGTACAGCTAACCTAAGCTACCTATCAGCTTTCGCGTACGACTTGGTTGCATTGTCATCATTATGAGGCAGTATTAAAGGCACATCCTGCGACTGATTCTGCCATCTCGATAGTGGATTCGGGTCGCTACCAATATAGACGACATTGAGGGCGATTTCGAGCTACTTCGACGTGAAGAAATCACCTGTATCACCTGTGCTCCGTTGATCATCGAGTTCCTCGAGCGGGCGCCAGTAACGTCTCCATTCGTCCCTGCAACGTGCAAGAGTTGCCCAATGAACTCTCTCAGCTCGAGGGACACGATGAACTTCATACCATTCGTTCAGAGCTTTCACGAAGAAATCTGACCATCGCGTAGGCGGTCTTCCAGGCGTTCGCTATGGACAGTCCGTGGATCAGTCGGGGCTGACTGCTTCTGGTCCAGCAGGATCGTCACTCGGAATACGACCAATGAACGAATGTCCGGACCACCTAGCATCTTCGAAAACCTTGGCAAATAAGCGGCGGCGTCTCTGACTCTTCGATCGTTGAACGAGAAGTGCCGGAAAAAGCTCCGGATTCCTCTCTCACTTGCGTGTAGCGGAAACTCCGAGCATCGCCCTTTCGATGGCGCGTTGAATAACGCCGACCGCATGCTCATCCTGCTTTCGTAGAGTCCAAGTCTCTGAGGCGTACGTCAAGGCAGGAAGGACGCGAATCGAAGAGGTGGGCACGGAGCTTGGTGTTCTTCGTCTTCTTCGCTACTCCCTCGATGTTCTTGAAGGCTCCCCAAGCCGCTCGCTTCCTCCTGCTCAGCTCTGGAGCTAGGTCATTCATCATATTGATTTCACGACCTAGGTACAATAGTAGGTAGCAATTTCAGAGATGGTTCGTTCGTGAAGCGCTGATGAGGGCATCAGACACCAATCCGTTTCTCATGAACATCGTCTTCGTTAGATTCAGCCGTAGACCGATTCTTCCACACGCGCAGTCGAATTCAGCCAGCATTCGTTCCGCTTGCTCGATGTTTGGTGTTATCAAAACGATGTCGTCAGCAAAGCGGAGATGGTGTAGTTGCCGACCGTCGATCTTCACTCCCATGTCTTCCCATTCCAGTTGACGCATGACGTTCTCGAGAGAGGCGCTGAAGAGCTTGGGCGAGATGGTGTCGCCCTGTCGGACCTCTCTTCACATCAATGATGATCTCCTTGTAGAATGGTGAGATCTTGGTCGTGAAGTTGCTGTAGAGCTCACGAAGAATCCTGATGTACTGAGTAGGAATACCCTGGTTGCCCAGGGCTTCGATAACCGCTTCTGTCTCAACGGAGTCGAAGGCTTTCTTCAAGTCGATGAACGTGAGACATAGCGGCATCTTGTACTCTCGCGATACTTCGATGAGCTTCGTTACCGTGTGGATGTGATCGATCGTGCTGAATCCTCTTCGAAACCCTGCTTGCTCGCATGGCTGTCCTTCGTCTAGTGTTCTTCCAATCCTGTTAAGGATGACTCGTGTGAAGAGTTTGTAGACTACAGACAGCAGGCAGATTGGGCGATAATTGCCAATGTCGTACAGGTCTCCCTTCTTGTACAGCAACACAGTCTTGCTGGTTTTCCACGAGGTGGGTACCTTGCATTCCGACAGGTAGCGCGTGAAGAGTCGAGCCAGAGTTTTGACGAGAACTGGCGGAAGATTCTTCAGATGTTCGGGTCTGATCCTGTCGGGACCGGGTGCCGTACGATTCTTCACCGACGAGATGGCGTGTCGGACTTCGGAAGAGAGAACTGCAGGAACGACATATCCATCCTGCTCCAAGCGGTATGGTTGCAGGTGGACGTGGCTGTCAAAGAGATCCGAGTAGAAGTCGTGGATGACCTTCTCCATTGCCCTTCTGGATGCGGTGATTGTTCCATCCGGACGTCGGAGGGCGGTCATCTTGGTCTTACAGTTGGCGAAGTCGCGGCGGGCGTTGCGTATGCTCTTCCCAGCCTCTGCGGCTTCCACCAGTACTGCTGCTCTTCTCTCCTTGAGGTCTTCCTTTATCGCTCCTCTGCATAGCTTCGCAAGCTCAGACGATCAGCTGGTAAATTGCCTGCGGCCTCTGTGCGAGCGCCACGTTCGGGCGAATCAGCTCGAGAGTTTCCAGAGATAGACGCTTCTTGGTAATCTTGGAACCCTCTGACTTCTTGGCGCAGTCGTGAAGATGTGCAACAAGCCGTTCGTATTCCTCGTCGATGTTGTCAATGACAGAATCCTCCCAGAGCCCAGCGAGAGAAGTGAAGTGATCCCAGTTGATGGTGGTCTTGGGGCTTCGCTTCTTGAACTTTGCGGCTCTCCTCTGCCCTCGCATCGATAAATCAGAAATCTTGCGCGAAGGATAGGCGATGGTGGGAGTCCCGCTGGTAGAACTTAGGGACAACAGCGACATCGGTCAGGCAAAACCTTCGATTGCAGATGATGTGGTCGATCTCGTTATGGAATTGTCCACCAGGAGACTCCCATGTCCAGCGTAGAGAGATTAGAGCGCTTCTTGACGAACTGCCGAAGTTACCATGGATGTATGGGTCGACATGCATAAACTGCAGACAGATCCTTTCACCAACTGGCTCAATTCCCTCCGTATAACACTGAGTTCCGATGAATGACAGTTCTTTCAGCGCCTTCTTCTTGGGTCCGAATCTTATGCGCTTGAATTCACAAACGATGACCTTGAGAAGGTATATTCTTCCTTGTGACTTCTCCAACTTCCATAGTAGAACGACCTTCAGAAGCCTCATCCTCGTCGTAGCTCGATGTTGGTGCGTAGGCGACGAAGATTGTCAAAGCTGGAGTTGAACCACATCTTCTCAATCGCAAACGTCCGATTCGGGTCGTCAGACTTTCGTACGAATCGATGTTCATGGCCAAGTGCGTGTTGACGAGGACGCCCACACCGCCAACGCCTCTGCTGTCGCATGTTCCGAGGAACAGTTCTTCTCCAGTCTCTCCGTAAACACAGGACGTGTAGCGGGCGATGCCTCCTCGTCTCGGTCAGTCCGATGACGTCGTACTTGATCTTCCTGGCTTGCAACATCAGATCTTCGATGTGAGCTTCCGATGCAAGCGTCCGTGCGTTGAAAGTACAGATCGTCATCCTAGTCCTGGGCGACTTAAATCTCCGTTGGCCCTGTGATTCTAGCAGCCTCGTCCGAGCGGTCCCAGCCGACGTCGCCCTGTCGGTGGTTCCCTCAGCTTCAGGGGAATGAGGCCCATAGTTGTTACTGTTTTCGGCGAGAAGAAAATTAACCACGCGTAGCTCGCCAGGCTCTGACGTGGCACCCTCCGCATTGGTACGTTTTTGGAACAGTCCAAACCGTTCACCCCCACGCCACGATGAGGCTGCGGATAGGATTTGTGGGGGGGGGGGGGCACAGGTGAAGAAAAACAAGCACAAAAACATGACCACTATGCCCTAGATAGAAACCCTATCACCCCTAGATAGAGTAGCCTCCACACTTTTGTAGCGTGACACTATGCCTCATATGCACAGCTGATTCGATAAGAACTCTACGATCGTACAAGTGACGATTTTCATGCTTTTTCGTCCTGCAATCTCGTTTTTCACTGAAAGCCGGGCATTGGAGGCGGAGTCTGGAGGCGGAGTCACTGGAAAAAAGGAGGACCACTGAACCTATATTGCGCTATAGCGCCCCTCCCTTAGAATTTTTTGCCGCGAAACCGGTACAAGGTTGTTCGTCGCGGACCACTCTAACCTCCTGACGCCATATTTTCAACTTCGATACCTGATCGCGGACCGTGCCTTTAATATTAGGGAATGGCGACGGCGACCATATGAAACAGCTCGTATTTTCTAACTAGTTGACCTGAAATAATGTGCATTTGCAATGTGGACCAACCAGCACCTGATGCAAATGACGCGCACGCGACGCCACTTGCATCGCCGCCTTCTCTGCGTCACTACCGTGCGGATCTCCCAAACTCACCTCTTTGGATTGCATGGCGTGATGGGGGGGCCATCGCTCATTAAAAGGGTGAATGATAAGGTCTTCGCCGTTGATCATTTCCTGTCTGGAATGCGACAGCTGCCAATCACATCGTAATGGCTTATCATGTCGCCTATAGAATGACTTGCGGGGGCCAGCCGATGAATAAATCAGTGTTATTATTGATAACACTAATACCGATTTTCCGTCTCCAGAGGGTGGAAGACTTGGACTTTGGCGGGAGCGAATTAACCCCTGACCGACGTGTGCGCTGATAAGCGTCCCCACTTGCCACTAACATCACATGCGTTCCAACAGAAGAGCTTCTCACGTCAAGGAGTACTGATTGGTTTGAATAGGGTCGCGAAGCTCTAGCAGCACTAAAAACGCTCACCAAATTTGATTTGGGGGCTGTGACAAGCGACTTTTCTGGCTGCTGCTTGCCTACATTTTGGTATCAGTTGTAGGATGATTAAAGGCAGCGCCCACATTCATTTGATGTCCCGCGTCTCTCTCTGGATATCATGGACCTCCCTATCCTATGAGGATGCAGTATGTACTAGTTTTGCATCTCAAAAGGCGAGAGGAATAGCGCCGTTCGCTAGTGAAGAGTCGGCCGCCCGCCCACCTGGCCAGCATAGGGTTCTATCATAGGACATTTTCCATGACCTTTTCAGCTTTTTTCTTCATTACTGGATCACGTATATGAGCTCCATAACCCAATATTCTTGAAGTGGGCTCAGCCTATAAAGGCTAAGCCAAAGCAGTTATGGCAGCCAGTGTGCGGGCACGTATCCTCTCCAAAGGTTTAGGGACAGCTAAAACTCATCCTTTGATGGCGCTATTACAATCTTTTTGTCTCTGCGCTCTCTGCTAATTTGCGATTTGTGGCCCACTTTGACATTCACATTCACAACTTTTACAAAAACCACGCATACTAAGTGCCTCATTCACCCTGGTGTCCTCCCCCTCGGAAAAACTCATGTCCTGGCTCGCATCGTATTTTTTTGTACCTCACGATGCCTTGGCAGTAGCAGTCCCTTATTGCTCTGCGCTCTGGCCCATCGTGGCAGGACCCCCACCAAGAGTTTTAGTTGTCACGTAACCCTCCATAAGCGGGTAGCGCCACCCTCTCGTATTTTTGAGCTGTGGAATTAGAACATCCTCCACCCTGCGACAAAGCTAACGATATCTCAGGAAGGCGTAGGACCATCAAATAAACGCGGGCGCTGCTTTTAAAGAAGCGCACAGACTCCATTGGTACAGCGTACAGTCTATTGCTGCGTGCGGTAGTGCAGGACGATAGTTGACAAGTAGGAGTCTATCCCAGAATTATTTCAGGTTTACGTAATATCTCCATCTTCGTCACTGGTGCAGCTGACTCTCGAAAAGCCGCATTCACAAGTCGACCAGCATGCTGTCGAGAGGGACCTCAACGAACTGACTGGACTGGACAATCGACTCCTTGCCAAGCAGCCTTATGTCGATAGCCAAGGACATGCTGACCCAACCAGGTTTGTTGCCAATTCCCTCCCGAAACTCGGTTTTCTTCAGCGAAACCAAAGTGCTTTTAGCCAACGTTTAAAGTACTGTATTACTGCTTCAGGACACACATCTTCGTCTACGCACTCAATCGTAAAACTAGGGTCCCACTATCTAAGGAGGAATTGGCAAGGTTGGTGACCTAAGTTTGCAGTCAAATATATGTAGCCAGAGAAGATTTGGAATTTTAGCATTCTGGAGAACCACTCGGCGTCATTACTGTCCTCTTCTTCGAAGATTTCCAACATTGCGATGCTGTCACCACAACAGGCCGCTATATCGACGTTTGACTTGATCCTGGCCATCGTTTGCGTCATCCTGCTCTTGTTACTTCTTCTCGCCTGTTGTGTACTTTCTTCATACTGCAAACGGTAAATGACTACTTGATAATGCAGGAACGCAGAAAAAAACTCTCCTGAATTGCAGAAGACGAGCGGTTGCCACCAGTGATCGTGAGTACATGGTATCGGCGAAAGCAGGACCACGCCCTTATGATGTTGAGGCCATCTCTCGAACAACCGCGCAAAGGGTCTTATCGGCTCGACCACTGCCGGAGCCATTAACGCATCAGTGTGTTTCTTAATTTCCAATCAGGACTTCTCAAAGGCAAACCCCATGATTTCACTTGTTGTTTTCAGAATTGAAGTCGCAGTTTCACCGATTTTCGTGGATTCCACGCTAAGCACAAACAAAAGCGATACAACGCGGGATTTTGCAAATAGTGTCAGGTAAGGAATTCCCACCAGACATTCTCGCGCTTCGGTAAGTTACCTTTTCAAAGCCGCATCCTTGAAACGGCGAAGTGAACTTCCAACAATCGTCTCTAGAGGCTCACAAACAATCGGAGGATCCCGGAAGGCCTTCAATTTTAAGCTGACGTTGTTCTTGTACAGCCCTAGGGCAGGGTTTGCTACCTTCCAGGGTCAGTGAGTAAGGGTAGAGTAAATTGTCTAGTAGACGGGAAAACTGGGCCTCTAGGCAAGTGGTCTGTAGCGTAGTTTAAAGCTAATGGCGGGCACAAAACTACTTGACAACTTCAACAATCCTTCCACTTCACCACGACCTCTCGCTCCGCCTCCACGCGCCCGCCCCAGTCTAAGATCATATCCGAACTTTTAGTGGAACAATTACACAGTCGATTCTTCAGTTGCTGTACAATGCTCATGATCTTTTTCAGGGAGAGACCGTCGCTCTTACAAAGTGCCTTGGCTAGACAGAAGGTAAGAACTGCACGTCTTCGGGTACAACTTTATTGAGACCTTAGGATAAG